CTTCCCCCTCCCCCTTTTTTCCTTTTCCTTTTTTCTTTCCCCTTTTTCGCGCTCTGATTCACAATGTGACAATATATATAAATATTATATAATATACAATATGTTTATGTGTCCTATGGGTATATTCAACAGTATTTGTTGACAGTTATGCTTGGGTCTGTGTGCTGTACGTGCTTGTTTTTTGAATAATTTGAATAATGAATAGTAACCCCCTGGCTGTCTTCTCATGATGGGTTCTGTGACTTGTGTCCGTCCTCGCGCAGGTTGGATGCGGGCAGAAGAAGCCAAAGCGTATGCCAAAGGCAATTCAGGGGCATTTTCGAAACGCGGGGGTGCCGTTGAAGCGGAAATTAGCGGAGTTCCAAGTCAGTGCAGATGCACTGATGCCCGTGGGAACGCCAATCACAGTTCGTCATTTTGTTCCAGGGCAGTATGTTGATATACGTGGGGTCACTATTGGCAAGGGCTTCCAGGTATGTGTGTGCATGCAGGAGAAGAGTAGAGAAGAGAAGAAAGAACAGAAGAGAAGAAAGAAGAGAAGAGAAGTGAAGAGAAGAAGAGAAGGGAAGAGGAGAAGAGAAGAGAAGAGAAGAGAAAGACTATCTGTGGGGGAGTAGAAGGTGGAGAAGAGAAGAGAAGAGAAGAAAAGAGAAGAGAAGAGAAGCGAAGAGAAGAGAAAGACTGTCTGTGGGGGAGTAGAAGGTGGAGAAGAGAAGAGAAGAGAAAGACTATCTGTGGGGGAGTAGAAGGTGGNGAGAAGCGAAGAGAAGAGAAAGACTGTCTGTGGGGGAGTAGAAGGTGGAGAAGAGAAGAGAAGAGAAAGACTATCTGTGGGGGAGTAGAAGGTGGGAGGGGATGAAGATCTCCCCCTTCCTTGGCTCTGTCTTTTTTTGTCGCCTTTGTATATTACTCTTAAGGGCATCGCCACACCACTCTCGAAATGTGCAAAATGGGAATGAACTTCCTGCTAGAACATGGCCAGATGCACGTGCCACATTTTGTATTTTTCACATTTTGAGACTGGTGTGGCGAGAGCCTAATTTGCTTTGCTTTCTTGCTTCTCTTGTCGGTTTCTTCTTTCCTTCTCTTCTGCTCTCGCCGCTTTGCCGCTGTTGTGTTCTCTCTCTCTCTCTCTCTCTCTCTCTCTCTCTCTTTTGTTTTCTTTCGCCTCTTGCTTGCTTCTCTCTTCTTGTTGCTCTTCCCTTTTTTTTCCCCTCCTTGACTTGCTTGTTTGCCCTTCATGTCTTCATTTCTGTCTTTGTCTCTTCTCATCTGTCTTTTCTTTCTCTTCTCTTCTCTCCTGTTCTGTTCTGTTCTTGCCTTCTTTCTTTTTTTTAAATTTTTTTCTCCCTCTCTCTTCCTTGTCTCGTATCTCTTTCCTCTTCTCTCTCTTTCGTTTTGCTCTTCTCCGATCGTCTCTTCTTTTTTTCTTTTTGTTTGAAAGGCCCTAGTCGTTACACTATTGCATCCCTCAGGAATTGAACTCACATGATCTGTTTATTACCAGTTATTAAATGCCTGTACCATTCAGCCACAGGGCTGCAGTCTGATCTTTTCTCTTCTTTTCTTTGCTCCTCTCTCTCTCTCTCTCTCTCTCTCTCTCTCTCTCTCTCTCTCTCTCTCTCTCTCTCTCTCTCTCTCTCTCTCTCTCTCTCTCT